TCCGAAGGTCTGCTTAACTGTCAACCGCTTTTCTGTCACGAAATTCGTGTGCGTTTTGTCGGTCGATACCCCTCTCCCTCTCCTCCTTCCGCACACACGTGCTACAGCGCCCGCATCTGCCCGCAGCCTCCTCCAGCCCTGCAGCGGCAGCAAACTCACCTGTGTTGGTACCGAAGGAGACGAGGCACGCAAACCACCGCGAGAACAGGCACTTTCCTGTAAGCCCTACTCTCGCCGAAAAGAGAGTCTTCCCGGGTTCGAAACGTAGAAAGTAGGAAGTAAGCGACTGTAGAGAAATCCCTCTATCTCTATCATTGCAATAATTGCTATTTGCAAAGAAATTCTTTGCAAAGGCATTGAAAATAATTGCAAAGAAGTCAGATGTTTTCTATAGATTTTGAAAAATTTGTGCTTTGTATAGTCTCTAAATGCGCAAAAGAATCCTTTCAAAGAAAATACTTTGTAATTTACTCACCTATTTTTTCGCAAGAATCTCTCCACAGATGACAGAGCTAGAACGAAAGTCCCACACTGTTGAAAAAGTATATGCTGTTTGATTTCCATAGTTAACAGGCCTCCCTTTAACAACTTATAGTATGACCTCTTATTTCTATTCTTCTCCTTCATTGACCCACTACTCCTCCTCCCCCTCCTCCTCCCGCCGCCTCCCCTACCAATCGTGAAGAAAGAAAATTATTCACCTGCCGAAAAAACAAAACTCGTGGCATTGTTTTGGTACTACCCCGCTCCCCGCTCCCACCCCTTGCTTCCACACGGCTTTCGGTTTGGTTTCGAAATTTGTTCGCAATCTGGATCAATATGCGCATACCAACGCGTCTGCAGGGAGCGCGACTAATACCCCCTCCGCCTCCCTCCCACTGGGCCGAACCCTTTTCCTAGTCCCTTCCCCCCCCCCTCTCTCTCTCTCTCGCTCGCTCGCTCTCTCCCTCGCTCTCTCCCTCGCTCTCTCCCTCGCTCGCTCGCTCTCTCCCTCTTTAACTGATTACAAATCACGGGGTGCGGGCTGAGCAGGTCCAGCGACACGTTTGGGGTCGTGGTTGTGCCGTGAGTGAGGTGACCGGAAGTGAGGGTGGAGCTCTGTCTGCCGTCTGTCCGTCGGAAGTCAAGCAGGTGCAACCAGCTTAATATTCTGATAGCTTACCAATACACGAGGATGCTTTTCCTTGTCCTTTTCTACTGTTAAACTCACTGGTAATCGTGTCAATGAACGTATGTCCAAAATAAATGAACTTTTTTATTTAAAGGCATTTTGACACGAAAACTATGTATTCTGAAAATAGACCGAAATTCAATCGACTCGATTTTTTTGGACATACGTTCGTTGGCACGATTACCAGTGAACTGGCTTTATTGTCCCTCTGGGTTTTCCACTTGATCGAGCCGTACGGAGTCTTCCAGAAAGTACGTCCGTTTATCTCAGATTTTATTCGGCAAATCCAGGGAGCTGGGCGCCTGCGAGACTCAGGTTAGGCCACCCCGCAGTACACGCGTGCGTTGCATGCAATATGTTGCCTACCCATCAGGCGTTAAGAGAGCTTGCACCTGCCAGCTTGCGCTGGCTGAACTCAGCTGTTTCGTAACGGTGAATGTGGTGACGGTTTATTCTGGATGATTCCTAATCCCCGATGCTTCGTAGTAACAAAGGATCTAAATACTTCGCAGTTATCCAACAGTGCTGTGACCTGCTGCGAGTACCTCGTTGGTACTTCGTGCACTGCGGTATGAGCTAGGGCTAGGTATGGGTGTGATACCCGGTGCAGTGTCTGCAGTGTAAAAGGCGGAATGCGCAGATTTAGGCGACGCCGTTGCGGATATATATCCGTGCACAAGTGCATTCCGCACCCCGCGCCCGCCCCCCTCCCATAGGACTACTTGCCCCATATGGACGCCATTCCTGGAGTTCCCTCCTCCGGTTCCCTCTCAGAGCCCGCTGTGTTCCATCTCATCTGCTCTCCTCCGTATCTCTCCCCCCATATCTCCTCCTCTCGCCCGCCGGACGGACCCGGGCCGGCCGGACTGGATGCTGCTGCCCGCTGGACCAGGCCAGCAGGCCCCACAAGCAGATGCCGCCCCGCCCGGTCCACAGATCACGCGCAGCCCCACTGGTCCATTCATCAGGTCAGGGGGCCAGGCCGCGGCAGGCCCTTTCAAAAGGCGGCGGAAAGCTGGGGGAAGGGAAAGGATGGGTCTGGCTGGAGAGGGCCAGAGGCGGGGTGAGGTGGGGCGGGGTGCGGCGGGGTGCGGTGGGGTGCGGCAGCCGAACCGGAAGTACAGGCGAGGATGGGGCTAATAATACATGGCGGTGGGTAACGATGGTGCAGTGGGCCGGCGGCGGCCGGGCCAGGAGCCAGGACACCTCGACGCACTTCACCTTGTCGCAACCCGAAGTAACTTCATATACACTGTCAATCTGGGGTGCCCAGCAGCTTTGTGCGACTGACGTCACACACCCTGGTTTCTGCGTGCGACTTAGTTCGCACTTTGGCAGGACTCCCCAGATTTACAGTGTAGGTAATAACGGAAATACCTACGTTTTCTGAAGTATTACAGTAACACTCTTCTATTCTTGCCACTGCTACACTCCTGC